GTAAATAAAATGAACAATGTAAAATAAAATGTGTGTGTATGTGTGTATACAGTATATATATAATATATATATTTAATATATTATTATAAATTTATATTTTATTTATAAATGTAATAATTTTAATGTAAAAATATATGTAAAATATAGATTTTTGATGAAGCAACAAATGCATTGCTAACATTTTTTAATTTAATTCTGGATTTATTTTCATTAATATTTATTGTCATTATACTACAAAATAAGTTTCTGTAGTATATATATATATATATATATATATTGTGTGTGTGTGTGAGTGAGTGAGTGAGTGAGTGAGTGAGTGAGTGAGTGAGTGAGTGAGTGAGTGAGTGAGTGAGTGAGTGAGTGAGTGAGTGAGTGAGTGAGTGAGTGAGTGAGTGAGTGAGTGAGTGAGTGAGTGAGTGAGTGAGTGAGTGAGTGAGTGAGTGAGTGAGTGAGTGAGTGAGTGAGTGAGTGAGTGAGTGAGTGAGTGAGTGAGTGAGTGAGTGAGTGAGTGAGTGAGTGAGTGAGTGAGTGAGTGAGTGAGTGAGTGAGTGAGTGAGTGAGTGAGTGAGTGAGTGAGTGAGTGAGTGAGTGAGTGAGTGAGTGAGTGAGTGAGTGAGTGAGTGAGTGAGTGAGTGAGTGAGTGAGTGAGTGAGTGAGTGAGTGAGTGAGTGAGTGAGTGAGTGAGTGAGTGAGTGAGTGAGTGAGTGAGTGAGTGAGTGAGTGAGTGAGTGAGTGAGTGAGTGAGTGAGTGAGTGAGTGAGTGAGTGAGTGAGTGAGTGAGTGAGTGAGTGAGTGAGTGAGTGAGTGAGTGAGTGAGTGAGTGAGTGAGTGAGTGAGTGAGTGAGTGAGTGAGTGAGTGAGTGAGTGAGTGAGTGAGTGAGTGAGTGAGTGAGTGAGTGAGTGAGTGAGTGAGTGAGTGAGTGAGTGAGTGAGTGAGTGAGTGAGTGAGTGAGTGAGTGAGTGAGTGAGTGAGTGAGTGAGTGAGTGAGTGAGTGAGTGAGTGAGTGAGTGAGTGAGTGAGTGAGTGAGTGAGTGAGTGAGTGAGTGAGTGAGTGAGTGAGTGAGTGAGTGAGTGAGTGAGTGAGTGAGTGAGTGAGTGAGTGAGTGAGTGAGTGAGTGAGTGAGTGAGTGAGTGAGTGAGTGAGTGAGTGAGTGAGTGAGTGAGTGAGTGAGTGAGTGAGTGAGTGAGTGAGTGAGTGAGTGAGTGAGTGAGTGAGTGAGTGAGTGAGTGAGTGAGTGAGTGAGTGAGTGAGTGAGTGAGTGAGTGAGTGAGTGAGTGAGTGAGTGAGTGAGTGAGTGAGTGAGTGAGTGAGTGAGTGAGTGAGTGAGTGAGTGAGTGAGTGAGTGAGTGAGTGAGTGAGTGAGTGAGTGAGTGAGTGAGTGAGTGAGTGAGTGAGTGAGTGAGTGAGTGAGTGAGTGAGTGAGTGAGTGAGTGAGTGAGTGAGTGAGTGAGTGAGTGAGTGAGTGAGTGAGTGAGTGAGTGAGCGAGTGTGTGTGTGTGTGCATATGTGTGAGTGAGTGTGTATGTGTGTGTGTGTGTGTTTGTGCTTAAAGTGAGGCAACATTTGTCATGTTTCTTGAATGATTATAATCTAAAATATTACCCTGGATCAGATATGCTTCATAAACCACAACATTTTCTGTCAAAGGTTTTGTAGGAGTCAAACTGAAGTGTTGTTTTGTGTTTTAATGTTTTGTGAGTTGTGTTAAATCAAAATCAAAAACTCAATTAATTTTGAACGCGCATTCTTGTGTCTTATTTGAACAGTTCATGGATTCATCCGTTCAAAGTTATTACTAAGAAAATTATTAAGACATTGTTTGTCTTCATAATGCTTCATCAAAATGAAAAGCTCTCTCTGATTCGAGACACTTTCCACCATCCAATCAATTCCCAGTGGATGATATGTGACGCTGGAGCACAAAAGCAGTGTTAAGTCGCTGGGGGATATTTGTAGCAATAGCCAACAATACATTGTATGGGTCCAAATTATAGATTTCTCTTTTATGCCAAAAATCATTAGGATATTAAGTAAAGATCATGTTCCATGAAGATATTTTGTACATTTCCTACCGTAAATATATCAAAGCTTAATTTTTGATTAGTAATATGCATTGCTAAGAACTTCATATGAACAACTTTAAAGATGATTTTCTCAATATTTAGATTTTTTTGCACCCTCAGATTCCAGATTTTCAAATAGTTGTATCTCGACCAAATATTGTCAGATCCTAACAAACCATACATCAATGAAAAGCTCATTTATTCAGCTTTATTCAGAAAAATTGGCCCTTATGACTGGTTTTGTGCTCCAGGGTCACATATCAAGTGGATCCTGTTCCGCTCAGAAAAGCATTGCATGACGTGCTGTTCACTGACCAAACACTCTATGAATTTGTCTGGTTGTGTCTGTGTCGTAGGTGGTGACCAACAGAGACACTCTAGAAACCTTGCTATGCATCGCATACGTGTTTGAAGTGTCCACCAGCGAACACGGAGCCCAGCATCACATCTACAGACTAGTCAAAGACTGAGCCTCTCCGCAGGCCACGGATCCACAGACGCCACAGCGCTCCCTCCTGGGTGCAGCCCAAACTCCTGCACTTCTTCTGCTCGGGTCGCGCCGACACACAGGGCAAGCGACTCTCTAGAAGCACTGCTCAGAGGCACTGCTCAGAGAATCTGCCGGGACGGCAAATCTGAATGTCGTGACATTTGAATTTATTCTTTTGTATATTGAGAACTGTGATAGCAGGACGAAATGCATGAGAACGTTCTTTGGTTTTTCTTCATCTCATTGTAGCCCCATGTGTTTGTGTTAGTGTTTGTTAGTATGGGAGTGATGGTCACCTACCGGACGAGCCTAAGGTGGACAAACAGTGGTTTTTCTTCATGTATCAGGACAAACCTGAACGTCAAACGTCAGAATGTGTTTTTTCGTAGATTTGCTACATTGTATTTATCAGCCATGTTCTTAAATGTGGAAAACTTCAACTTAAATCAGCCTAACGTGAAAGAAACTCGGAAGACTCTGGGCTTTTCTCCACAACAAGGGTTTGTAAGAAACAGACATGTAACTGCGTATTTGACCTGACAGCAGAATCAGTCGGTCAGAAACAGTCTGATATTTGGAATAAAGAGCGTGCGTTATCCTTTGAAACTGATTTGAAGTTATTTTTGTTCTTCTGGTGCTCATATAAATTTGCTTTCAATTCAATTCTATTAGGAAACAAGTTAGTTGTAGTCCTAAAGGTTTAAAGTCCTACGGTTTAGCAAGTTCATTAATGGCCATATCCAAAATAGCCATATTTTTTTATATGAAGCAACAAATGCCTTGCTAATATTTTATTTTATTATTGATTTATTTTTTGTTAATATTTTATTATTAAATTACAAAAGATGTTTTTTGGTGAAGCAACAAATGTATCACAAATATTTTAATTGCTAATATTTTATCGTATTATTATATATTTATTTTTATTAATATTTTATTTATTTATTATTATACATACTGCAAAATACGTTTTTTGATGAAGCAATAAATGCATTGTCAATATTTTATTATTATTTCATAATATGTTTTATTATATATTTATTTATTATTTTATTTACATTTATTATTATACTAGATGTTGTGCCAGTAATATTATTATATATTATAAATAATACTATTACTTTACATATTACTTTCTGGCAACAGTTATTAGATACACTACTGGTTACATAACTTTTCCTTCACGCCCCACAGAAGTTGTAATTGTGTATCTTCCCCATAAAATTCTTCTAAAATGTTACTAACAATATGTTTCTGCCTCATCATTTGACCAAAGTCTACATTGGATCGCAGTCAGAAGTTATTACAAACACTTAATGGTGACTGATAGTGACTTTTAAGTAAAAGTGTCATGTGTAGCTTGAAGCTAATTGTAGCTATAATTTCTCTGTTACCCAAATATGATTATATTTCATGACGTATTTTATCAAAATAAATCACATAAGCTAATAAGTAATGTAATGTATATAGGGATGTGGGTGGGCAAGCCGTGTAATGCCAGAGTAAAGTAATGCCACAACTTCCACATCTGTGTTCAGATCAGCTTTTCTCCTGACAATAATATTTCCATCCCCTGAATGTATGCTTTTCCATATTCTTTATTATAGAAAATTATAGAAATAAATATAGGAATTATTGGATTGTTGGATTTCAAATCAGTAGGGGTTGAGGCATCAAAAGTAACTAAGTAACGAGCTGTTTTATGCATGGTAGCTGTAATATTATTACTGAAATCTTATTAGTATTACACTAATAGTTACTGCAAAAAGTAATATTATTACTGCAACTAGTTACTAGTAACTAGTTACTGCCCAACACTGCTTAAATGTATAGAAATCTATTTTTTTATGCAAAAAAGTTGATGTTTATAATACAATAATTACAGTTAACAATATAGAATGAGAGTAATAATTTACTAAACAGGCAAAAAGAAAATCAGAAAGACGTGGAGATAGAAAGTTAAAAAAAATTCTTGAGGGAAAGAAATTATGCATCAATGAGAGTGAATTGCAAGCTAGTTCTACTTGCTGTATTTACTGAAGATACAATGGTGTTGAAATACTTTTAAAATTCTTCCAATAAGACAAGAACAATTGTTTTGTTGTTGGTGAACTTACATTTATGGATTTTTATAATTTTTTTAAAGAACGTCTCGGATAAATATTAGTTTTAAATTTCTTCATAAAAATGTTTGACGGTCAAATTAATTGTATTTGTCCTTTTCTGCTGTCTTTGACGTCACAGCTCAGGTTCAGGAGCCATCAGCCAATCAGCGTGACGCTTGAGTTAGAAGAGGCTCTTGCGCCATCTACTGGTAGAAACATCGCAACTGCACGTCGCACAAAGTCACTTCATCAGCTTGTTACACTTCAGTTTAAACATGGTAAAAAAATCATATGATGCATTGACATATATTATTGTATTGATGCTGTGAAAATAATTGCTTTCTGACACTTAATAATAATGATATTGCTTCATATACTTAATTATCTTACTGGATTTTAACCTAATGCACATGAAGAAGCAAAAATAAAAGTCAGGATAAAGGTAACAACATTCTTATCAATGGCAAGAAATGACACTATTTCTAATCTGTAAAGTCTTTTCAGTACACTCAGCCAATGGTTCAGTCAGACCACACAGTCACCCGCTCCCTTGGGATGGATTAGGCCTTCTCAGTGTGAAGTGCTCGGCCTGACCTGGCAAACTCCACGCTGAGCCCAGAGCAACAACTTCCCCTTGGCTCTGAGCGTTCATTCTGCAGCCAGTGTTTGCAGGATTCATAGATCTGCTGTATTTTGGAAAATGGAGTGTGAAAGCTATCGGCTACCTGATCCAAGTCTCTTTTGGCAAACTTGCGGCTGTAACACACAAACAGACGGGGAGCATTGAATCAGCTCCTGTGATTCAGGTAGAATAATCCTCTCGAATTTCTCCAGAATGAATCAAACACTTCTCATCGGAGGAACAAAGAGCCATTGGTGTTCCACAGGGCAAGCTGTAAAACCACTGAGCAAATCGTGCAATTATGGGAAATATTAAAGGGGTCATATGATGCGATTTCAAGTTTTGCTTTCTCTTTGGAGTGTTACAAGCTGATTGTGCATAGATAAGATCCCTGAAGTTGCAAAGACTAAAGTCTCAAACCCAAAGAGATATTCTTTATCAAAGTTAAGACTCTGCCACGCCCCCCTAAAACGGCTCGTTCTAACACGCCCCCACATATCTACCTCACTATGTGGAAATATTTGCATGAAAAGAAGAAGGCGTGGTTTCAGTAACCGCAGTTAGTGTTGAAGCAGCATGTCAGGGAGACGCTGTGTGTTTCTAGACGACAGCAAAAGCACTTTATTTGGTCTTCCGAAAGTAGATGCATTTAGGAATCTTTAAGATTACTTACAACAGAACAGCAATGCATTTTATGGACGAGCGTTTCGTGAACCTAGGAGAGGAGGTCATTCTGACAATCTGGCGCTTCTGAATCAACTACTGTTTTGTTATTAGTTTAAGTATTTGCTATTGACTGTTCAAATGCACAGTTTTGCGCATCGTGTGTGTGTGTGT